TTGTATTATGGTCATGCGCTGTCCCACATAAAGTACTTCTTCATTCTTCAAACCTTTTACAATTGCTAAGCCTTGACGGAATTAGCTTGGTCTAGGATCTATAGGTTATGTCAGCTGGTCGAGGTTTAGCCCATCGCATGAGCTTGAACATCTATGCGTCAGTAGTCACTGCCTCCACTTGACTCTTCCAGTAGTCTCACTTGGCTTTTCGCAACACGGCTCTAAAGCTCTTGCGGGCCTCTTTCGCGAGGTCCGGGTTGTCTCTCGCTGCCTTGTATTCTTGCCATTCTGTGTGACATTCATCAGTCCACCATGGCCCAGTTTTTCCGCTTTCGATGGCTGGGACCTTCCCTGCGATCTTCAGCGCATCTCCTAGTGCTTGTAGGGGATCATTCGTGAAATTTTCGATGTCCATGATAATGTCAAGAGGGCCTAGCTTTGTCCATTGTCTAACGCATCGGCTAAATTCCTTCAAGTTGGCGTCGCTGACACGGATGTTCCTTACAATTCCAGAGAGATCTGACAATATAGGGTTAAGCACGGTACCTTCGATGGTCGAGTGATCTGAGGTACAGTGGTAACGGTTGGACACGGATGCTATGGCGGCCGTATTGCTCCACGTTAGATACAGGACGTTTCCGTCCCTGTGCGTTGGCTCACCAGCAATTCTGACTAGATCCATGTCGTGGGCTGTTGCCCATTCCATAATCTGGTTACCATTGCCGTACCAATTTGTTGTTAGTGGTTACCAATGCTGAGACACAGAATTGAAATCGCCTCCAACAACCACTAGTCCTCTAACTTCCCACCGGACTAGGGGCTCCAAGATTCCACTGGTGCCTGGGGCACGATGTACATTGACAAAGGTCAGACCGCCCATCTTTACAAAACAGTAGTCAGATGTCGGGCCTGACGACGGTGGAAATAATTGAGTCGCATGACTACCTTTGCGCGTGAAATTAATCGCGCGGGGCCGGATGTCTGTTCCTCCAAATGGTATATGGCTATTATAGCCAGGGTGACTTTTCGTTATAAAACCCCCCTCTTTCTTTCTTGTCCATGGTTCATGTACCATGACTACATGTGTACCGGCATCCCATATCTGCTGCCATGCTATATCCGTGTTTTCCCCACCTCTTCCGACATTCACTTAGTGAAAGTGGACGGTATTATGTTTGTCTATTAGTGCTTTTGTCGAGGGGTTTCCTAACATTAACACGACATTGTTGAGTCCTGGGCAATGACGGTTTCAACCGCCTTACCCTTCCTTTCTAAGTACACTAGAGTAGCGTGATAATCACGATGTCCGCGTTTGATGATATGGAGTTCTGCGGGAGTACGGAGCAGAATCATCCCGTTTTGTCGTCTGGGCCGGGCCATACAGCTGCCCTCATTTGAGTGGTGGGGTCCAGCACAATTTGAGCACTTTGACACCTTAGCATGACACTCTGATGTCTCGTGGGTTCCCCCACATTTCCCACATCGTTAGTTCCAGGTGCAGGACCGCGTTGTGTGGAATCCCCAGCAACGTTGGCATTGCTCGATCGGCCGTCGGCGTGAGAAGGGCATTGCCGGCCCGCTCTCGTCAAATAGACGAAACTTTGTGTTTGCTGGTTTTTGTTGGAATTGAACAATCCAACTCGTTGAGTATTGCCCAAGCTTTGTTTCCGTGGGCCTTACCTGGATTGGTGTGGCACCACATACTGCTTGTCACTCGTTCTTCACCATGTCGTTGGTGACTGGAATGCTACCTTCGAGCGTCTTGATGTACAATGGCACATGAGGTACGATCAATGATGTCCATTTGGACGCTGCCTCAATCACAGTGTTGTCTTCCTGTAGGGAAGGTGCGATCCTCATGATTGTATCTCTCAATGCGTCTGATGCGCATTCGAGAGCGATCCCCGACCTGACTGGGTACATGGACGTGATAGCGGAAGTCGCTATCCAAGCCTTGTCGGTGATTATTTTCTTGATCGTGACTAGTGATAACTTGTACCAGTAGTGATCTTTCCTCAATCGTAGGAACAAGCGCTTGTCCTCCTTTGGGGCTGTCTGGGGTTTCGGGTTGCCTGCTGGTGCAGGCCTTCGCGGAATTTGCACGTTTGGCGGCGTCGGTAGCTTGGCCGCTTTGCGGGCTACTGTCACCTAGGGCGAGCTGGTGTCTTGAGGCTTTGAGGGTAGGGCGTGGCTGTGATACTCAACAGCTGTGTTGTTCCTAGGCGCGACTGGTTTGGGAATGCTTGCCATGGTGGGGGGCTTCTTACTTGGTAAGTTTGTTACTTCTACCTGATCTACTGCGAAGGCAATGATAACAGGCGTGATGTTTTCCAGCAGAGTTGCGACGATTGCTGCTGCATGCTTCTCTCATTTGCTCTAAGCCCAGGAATCGATTAGTTCAAGAAGTTCCTGGGCTATACCCAGTTTTTCTTTTCTTTGTTGTTCTGCTTTTTGCATTGCGTTAACAATGCTAAGCAGGCTTGGATGGAGTTGCCCTCATGGATGGAGGGCGTTGTCGAAGACGATACAATAGCTGGGGTCATTACACCGGTTGGAGATTCTTGCAGAATGGGTATTATGTAATGCGATGTGGGATGGGTCAAAAATGGCGATTCTTGTCATTGTCGGCTCTTGTGTGGGATTTGCGACTTTTAAATTTAAATAGATGCAAAGTGATAACTATTTTGATTTAATTTTACATCATTGCTAATCACTATACTTGTTGTGTATGGCATATGGATAAACTGGGCTGATGATTTTCGGCAGTCCCTTGAATATAATTCGGTAGGATATCCTGTTGTTCAATAATTATTCTATTTGATGGTTAATATAAATAGACAGACAATGGGACTTCTCTTAGCACCTGTTAGTAGTGTCCCCTAGGAACCTATAGCTCTCGCCGAAGAGCCTGAAGAGCCGAGATTGAGTGACAAAGTCCCCGCTTCCATGAGGATTCCCAATCGCTTTCGCGGTCCGTATCGTCTTCATCTGTCTACATAACCCCCAAACACCATCATCCTCAATATAATCACGATGAGATCAGGTGGAGGAATCTAAGACCTACTAATTACCGACTGATACTTACGGAGGAAAAGTCATCTGAATATGATACGGGGATAGGGCTATTGTAGGCTTAAACTTAAATAGGATTAGCGTCCTTTTAAGGTTTACACCTCTCCGTCCGTAACTGCGGAGAACTAAAGGCAAGAATCAACACCCGACAATTTTACTTACTTGCTCGAGTGACATGTAACACCACCAAAAAGCTATCCGATGAGTTTCCGAGGCGCACCCAGCACCTGATACGGAGATGGTGGATTGGATCAACTCAACTTCTACTGTTACAAAGACGGGAGATGTAGATTGATATGCGCACCTCATGTGGTCCCGGTGTCTAGGCCTCGCCTGGCTAGGGCTGCAGGTTTTTTGAGACTTTTTCCCGCGCACGTAGTTTCCATGGCTACCATTTTTATTTTTTTGGGTAGAAGGTTCCGTCTAAAAGGTGGCCGAATTCCACAAGCAAATACTGAACTGAATCGGCATTCATCAAGGGGAATATATCAATGATCTTTCATGTAACATGAGAGGCAAGGAGCACTGTACAAGGCATGGCCTGGGTCAGAAAGGAGCCCGATGCGCTAGATAGTCTAAGACTGAAGTAGTACAATAAACACACCTCATTCTCTGGGTAGAAGGATCCATGGGAAAAGAAAGATGGATACCACGAATAAATACTGAGCCAAATGTCTACCCTAGATGAGTATTAAGGCGGTGTCATTTTTTTCGTGACAAAAGAGGACAGGAGCACTGTGCAAGTTATGGCCCTGATCAGAGAGGAGCCCAATGTGCTAAATAGTTCATGACTGAAGTAGCACGACAAAAACCAACCAACCTACTCTAGGTAGATAAATATGCAGAGCTTAATCTCTGGAGAAAGTAAGCTTTGATCAGCTGTTCCACGTATCAGATATTTGGAGAAAGAGTTGACTTTAATTTACCGACCCAGACAGCGATGGAGCAGTAATAGGATTGGAATAGTTTATCATGATAAAGCGAAGCAGTGAGGAGAAAGATATGCTCACATGAATCTAATGTGCATTGTTTGGCCATGACTAAACCTCACTTTTTCTCAAAATAGAGGCCATATTCAGGCATGATTCACGAACAAGATTTCTGAGGCGAGGGCGATGTTTCAATCCTAAATCTCACAAGTAACTGATGAAGAATATTAAATTTCGTATTGCCCAGAAGCTGATCAGGTTCAGTGATGGGTTTGTGAAGTCAGGGCTTAGAACTTGTACATACAACCTCTTACATTGAGGCGAGATAATGGTACAAGGGGCAGGAGGTAGGGAAAATATTGGTAAGGTCAAAGACCAGTTACATTAGCTTGGAGCCCCATGAGAAGTACCTGTTAACAACGGCCCCCAAACGCTAACATTAGTCGAATTATGGCCTGATCAACTGCCGAGTAGCTGTATGCTCAAGGCTGCACTCGGTAAAGCCTTAATAGGCGACTTTGCTGACGATCTCATGCTCCCCTCCTGTCATGCCATACGCACGGTTCCGCATATCCATTTGGGCTCTTGAGGAATCCCAGGAGCTACCTTCTACGAAATATTACCAAGTAATTTAGTTGACGTTGAAAACTTTTCATAGATTCCAGCTGTCATACACAAAGCTATGATGCACTATTACACCCTAATCTTTCGATCAATCCTACAAGCGGTTGGGGGAGTTAGAGTGTGAAAGGATTAGGTGCATAAAGAAAAAAGTACCGAGCAGGGTACAAAAGAGCATTCATCATTACGTAAATGTCAAGTGCTATTGAACCCGACGACCGTGAATGGAATATTATGGCCCCTGGAAAGTTGTCAAAATCTTATGACAATAAAGCAAATGAAAGTGATCTAGTTATATTCGAGATAGTCAGCGGCTGTGCAGTTATCTGGTTGGGTTCTGATAATTTAATGGCCCTTAAAAGACCTGATACCGTTGCTTTATCGATATGATGGCCGCGAATCTATAGAGGAGGCACGGACTGCTCGGTGCCATTTGGATTGTGTTCTCCCGATAGGCGATTGTCGACGGGCTCGCTCAACTCTGGATGTAGTTGGCATGTATCTTCTCATTCGTGTCGCTGCAGCAGCTGTTGATCCACGGCCTTCCGAGTTGCGAGGTCGGCGTCGCGAGAATCTTGCAGATATTGGAGAGGCAGAACGCCTAGGAATATCTTGATATGATTTTACTGATGATCTCAGAGCGGTTCCTTCGCGAGAGTGAGCTTCTGGAGAAGAAATTTGTGTATTAGGAGCCCGGGATAAAAAATCCCTGTGAGGGCTGATATGATTTTGCGATGGATAATTTCCATAATCATAAGGACGGAATCCATGGTAATACTCTGGTTGAATATAGTGGTAAGCTGGCCCAACATAGAATGGTGCCTTCGATTCGGCTTCCGGCTGAAGTCTAGCTGATTCTGTTTCATAGTTCCAACTCTCTGTTCTTTCGTTGTGAAGGCCCCAAGGTCGTAACCGGCGAGAATGCTGCTCAAAGCCAGTTCTATAGTCATAGGAATTTTTCGGCATCATCGTTGCCCGAGTATTCCAAGGCTGGTTTGGCGTCAAATCTTCACGGTAATGATAGTTAGGTGGGGGCCTGGTGTAGCCATTGTGGTATGGATCCATGATGAGAATATCTTGTGATGCTTGAGGATTGTGTTAATGAGGGCAGATTTATTGAGTACAATGATCCCTAATTTTCTCTGTATCGCAGATTGAGGGTTTGTTATTCTTCGCTGTGACAATCTCAGAGGTGAAGTTTAGGCCGTTATGTATGTGACAAGAACCTGCAATCCAATCTGTTCTGAATAATTTTTATCCCTTATCAAGAACCATAAAAATCGACTGATCTGTGCCTGATATGATGGGCTGGATCCACCAGACTTGTGGTGGGATTTGTGATTTGTCCGTTCAAAGGGTTAATTAATATAAGGCTTGCGGCCCGATCAACTTACGTATTGGGCACAGACCTGGACAAGCAATGAGCGACATCTGCCATCGCTCATAGCCTCAGGGGTAATTAGTTCGTGATACGGGTACCGTTTGTTTGTGTGGAGCGGCTCGGATTGGCACGGAGTGTCAGAGAAAGTCCAGGTTGGCGATATATTTGATACTGGAATCTTACAGTCTGTAAATATGTGAAGGCGTGTAGGCCCTAACCACCCCTGGTCTAATAGTATTTGGGCATTAAATAATTTATTCCTATCAACGCTTTCATAGTCTCAGTGCAATAAGAATATTCCTTAGACGTGTTTATGCAGCTGGTGCCCAGAGCAGCTTCCCTTCATTACCTTCTCTAACCGGTTACCTGATAGGAAGTCATTTTTGAGTCCGTAGCTCGTGTGATAAGCCTTACATCCACAAGGTACGGGGCCCACTACATAATTGATTGTGGGCCTCGTGGATACTACATAGGGTTATTCGCGATTAGGGCACAGCACATCAGCTAATGAAAGTATGCAGCGATATTTTTACTCCCTGTCTAAAACCCATGTCTTTGGGACAGAAAAAGGACTGGATAGTGCGGGATGGATTTGACCGCCGGGTCTTCTTTTGGGGACAGGTGAAAACCCAATATGTGGAATCTCCGGGCCTTGCTGGTTCTGGTCCCTCTACCTAAGGTCTCAGTACTCTTGTCATATGAGTGCTGAGACTCCTGCTTTCATCCTTCGTCGCATACACCTTGCGGACCCTCGCCATCCACAATGACGGCTGGAACAACTCTGGGAAAAAGGTTAAAGAATGTGGCACCAACACTAGGATAGCCGTCTAAAGAGTTTTCGATATTCCTAACACACATCTCCAGACTATCAATAACCAGCCCATGCCTGAGTAACTGATTATGCCATCTTCTTGATGCCCAAACTTGGATTGTCCAGAATCCACCCTGATCGTCCACATATAAATTTACATCCCGTAAACCGTAGTGAGATGCACTATCTATCACCAGACCCCTGAGTTGTCATTAGACTGAATGGGTAGAGACTTCAGGAAGGCCCTAAAATGGCTACACTACTGGAGGTATAACTATCACTGGTCTACAGGCAGGAAGAGCATGCGCGTCCCAATTTTGCAGTGGGTACCGCACGACAAACGTTCGTTCCACTCTAAATGGGGTCTCAGCATGGGTGGAGCTATGCCATGTGCGTAACGGCAATGGTGCGCTACCAAGTCTCCGTGTCTCGTTCGGGCAGCGATCGATTAAGTGGAGAAATATGGTGGTAGCGCCAGACTGAATATATCTTATGCTACATCAATCCTTCATTACCCTTAACTCCCTATTCGCATGCTTAAATCCTTCGAGCTTGTGTTGTGCACAGCATCCGGTCCCGGAAATTACAGCCAACTCTGGTAAGACTCCTAAAATTCTCTCCTATATCCCGTCTGTTAAGCACAAGGGTCCCAGGGATGCTAAACAAGGTATTTTAGTTACGTATGAGTGAGTGAGTGGTTGTTTATTGTCCCAAGAATTCTATAACTATGTAAGGACATGCTGGTCCTTTCTCTCTACAGGCCGGGAGTATCTATGCCTCTGCTAGTCTACTCCCTCCTATGTCTCCTTCACGACTTCACTCCAGCAGTATACCCCCACAGGTCTTCATTCGATCACACACTAATATGAGCCGTTATGCCGTCATTATCTACCCTCTTCAGCAAATAAAACGACGGCCATTTGCGGGTGTGTAGCTGCTGGGAAAAGTCTCAAAAACCACTGGGTGCGAGGCTCTCCTATGACGAAGAGGCCGGCCAGCCAGGCACAGCAGACCTGTGTATACCTAAGAGCTTCTCTCAACTTTCCTAGTCGCCTCCTCCTTACTCCTCTCCTGATTCATGTTGCAGGACAAACCGAAGGTCGTGAAAATGATGTCAGAAAAGTCTTGGTCGAGAGTGACTGTCGTGAAGGAGCCTAGCCTAGCATCCAAAAGTCGTTACGGACGTGGGGTTGTCGAGTAACTCATGTATTCTATGTGCCCTCCTGGCTAATAGATTCTGATTTAAGGTTAGAAGAGACGATATTATAGACGAGTCGAAATCTGCTTTTCTTGAGGGCGGAAGAGTCTTTTACTTTGATTTCGTGGGCTTTTTGTTCGCCCGCCGGTGGGTAGCACATGTTGTGATATAGCGAGGGCTTCTCTGACTACCGTTGTAGCGTTTGGTACCGCATTATCTTTCCTTATTTCCATCATCATCATCATCGTCTTCGTCGTCTTATGTGTTATCGGAAGCGTATCTTTGACAGAGGGGGTGATAACTCGGCTCAAAATTGATGAGGTGTTACTCAATCTCGGCTCTGCAGACTCTACAGTGAGAGCTGGAGGTTCGTAGGGGACACCACTGACAGGTGTTGAGAATAGTCCCCCTAGTTTCGTATGATTCTAGCCCTACGAGGAGCACAATTTCAGAGTGCTGATCAAAGTGTATCTCTATGTACTGGTCGGTAAGTTGTCATTCTACAATTAACATACAGACAAAATTGGCAACACATTCGGCGCTATATCGTAATACGACTTTTGAACTTACGATCACTATCGTCATCCGCTTTCGACAAGTTCTATACCTAGTCGAAGCCTCATCCACGCGCGAGTCTCAATAAATTATCCTAGTGGTAATCACGTTTGAATTCTTCTCAACACCGAGTCTTTTACACACAGTACTTTTGAGGTGGAAAATCAAGATTCTGACTTTTTTTTTGAATCAGATTTTCATTGCGTATGCAACTATCTAGCTATAACACAAATCAAGTAAAAGTACAGAAAAGATGACTCAACGTAAGGAAAGGGCAATCACGCCTCAGATTTCATTTGCAAGTACCACTGCGAAGTTATGGTGGCTTTTTCTTCACCCCAAGTCATCCCCCATCCGTGAATACCAACCCAGGGGAACGTTTCAATAACCCTGAGTTATCCAGACATGCCTCCGTCATCCATTTACTTTTCTCCGCGCGAAATATGGTCTTAGATGTTTCCTTTCCAAGTGGAGAAAGTGCCCAGGCTACTCAAACTATACCAGAGAATACCACCAAGAGGCAGTCCAAGTTACCATCCATCGTTGACCTTTGTTTATAGTGTCAGCTGCACTGTCCCAAGCAAAGTCTTGGCGTGCACAAAGCTCTATTTGTAAAACACCATACTAAAATTCACGAGATTCCGGCTCACGTGGATAGCTAGGTGAATCGATGAAATGTCCATGTAAAAATGAAAAACGAATATACATGGCTAAGACGAGGATCTACATAATCTCGGTTAATGGGGATCTTGAGGAGATATCTTCCCCTATGAGGGAAATTGTGCACTACAAGGATTTCTCTGGAACGAGGGCGATCACAGAAACACGATCAAATCTTCAAGTGGATTGATCCATTGCCCGAATTCATGTTCAACAAGCAGGGAGTCCCAAGTACTTCATCCGAGTCTTCAGTTCGATAGTTGACCTCAGAAAAAATTCCGACCATAACGTGAACATTGAAAGTCTGTTCAAGGGAGAGGCGCCAGGACCAGTTTATAATCACTCATCTAGACTCTTTTCTCAGAAAGATTATTCAGTTCCGTACCTGGACGATCTGCAGTCGACCTTGCATCCTGTGTAATCCATGATGCTGAGGCGACCATGAGAAACAGAAAATGTGCGGCTATGGCCACATTTGCCTTTTTTCTTAAATCATTTAATGTGTATTCAGCTATCTAGCTATGACACATAATCGGTGCTATGTATACATGTGGGATGATTCTTTTGAGATTAGAGACACTCATACTCTGGATTTCATTTTCAGATACCACTATGAGGTATGTTCGCTTACACAAACAGTCGACCCTCCTCCGTTAGTACCCACCAAAGGGAAATTAAAAACCTTTGGTTATCCAAGCATGCCTTCGTCATCCATGCATACCAGCGCCGCGAGAAAAGAGGTTGTGTTTTGCCGGATTTGAACCAGCGATCTACTGTCTCGAGTGGGATATGTGTCCAAGCTATCCAGACTCTACTTGGAAGACCGGCCAAGACGATGTACCACAGCACCATCTAGCCATGGCGGTGTTTATAGTGTCGCCTGCACTCACAATTGACATTCATGGTGCTGTTGACGCAGTCCTTTACACCCGAATGCTCCAACGCCTTCGGAAAAAAATTTGGCTACTACTTCTGTGCTGGTTTATTCAGACCTTTCTTTGCCAACGAAGGGTGAAGGTAAAAAACCGCGGCGGAACTACTGAGGAAAAGATACTGGTTTGTTGAGTACCTCAGGGCTTGCCACTATTGCCATTACTCTTCATGCTCTATATCGCTGTGCTATTTGAGGACCATGGTATAACGAGCAGTTTTGGTTAATCTGGTGATGTAGCCATCGTCAGATTTGGAAATACCGCGGCGTAAGCCATCTTCGCTGTTCAAGATGACCTCGACAGCCTTATCTTTCTCGAAAGAGAACACAGGATTGAGTTTGACCTAGCAAAGCCCGAACTTCTAGTGACTGGAGGAGGGCTTAGAAAGAAAATCAACGCGGCTGATCTTTCCATCTTGGTGAAAGATCGCCGGATCGAACCGTCACCTCACATCCGGTGGCTAGAAGTCTGGCTTGATACCTAGCTAAACTCCAAGCAACATGTAAAGGAATGGACTGGAAAAGCTAA